ATTGAGGGCCAACATTCCGACAGGTTTTACCAAAAACAGCAAAGGTTTTATATTCATTTGGTATCTTACGCCTGTTTTCACTTTTCCTACGTTCAATTGCAAGCAGAATATGAATTTCCTTTATAAGATAATATTTCATCCACCAATGAACTGAAATGGTGCTGAGTTAACCAAAACAGGAAATTGACAGTCGTACATTTACCTCTAAACTTGTACTCATTTGAATGTTCTAGTTACAAGTAAGTAGTAAATATACTCCGGATATTGTACATATTAACACTTCAGACAATGGGGATGGCGAACTTCTCGAAATGTTTTGAATAAGGATAATACCTTTTAAAAAAAATTTGATTCTTCTTTTTATTGTTTCTCTAATATTTGGCTTTACAAATTGTTAAAAGAGCATTACTTCTGAGGTCATTTGAACAAACATCGACATATTTAGTATAGATTTATAATTATAACTACTGGATTTGAAAAAGATATCCATATTATTAGTGCTCCTGAAATTAAATGATCTGTTGGCTTTGTCAATCAATTTTTAAGATAGATTTATAGTTTGATATATCAAATCAACAGCTTGCATTAGTACAATAAAATGGACAAGTCAATATGCTTTTAGATCTCCTCCGTCTCTTTTAAGTTGTGGCACTTACATTTTGGATCTTTGACTATCGTCCTTTGGAGGCATGACGTATATTCAATCTAACCTTTATCCTATTATAAAATACTTGAATATTTTTGTACTCAAAAACAGGTTAAACAAACTCTCTCTCTATTTTTCTGTAAAATGAAAAGTGAGAAAGAAATGTTGCAGACTTCAAAATTAGGAGCTATTGTTTCAACGCTTCTCGTCACATGTGAGAGATCAATTTTGACATGTTTTTTACTTTTATTATTGTACTATTAAATATTTCTTGAATGTTCAATAATGTATTTGTTGAACAGGTTGCATTACTACATTCTGAATACATGCACATTTCACACATTCCCCATTTCCATTCTCTATTGTACATGTCGATTATCGACAAGAAGACAAATATTTGATCGTTAGTATTAGTTGTAGATTTTTTTATGTCCTAGGTTGTTACTTAATTGACGTATACCGACGTTTGAATATATTACTGTAATAGAAACGTTCCTTGTTGCCTTTTACTTTGGCATTGAAACGTGAAGTTGGGTTGGAATATGTATTAATTTATTACTTTCTTCTGTTAAAAAACAACCTTTTTGTTTTCTCTTTTGGTTTGATACAACACCAGTGTCAAAGGTAATTAGGGGTTGGATTTAGCGCTCAAAAATGTTTTTACCCCGCCACATTAATTTATTTGCTTTCCTTAGCCAGGAGCCAGTTATTCATTGATTGTCGTTTATTATGTCTGTCATACTTGTTTTAAGGAAATTGCATTGTATGAATTAGACGTTGGTTTTTCTCGTTTGAATTATTTCAAATTATTCATGTCGGAGCCTGTTATAGCTGACTTTACAGTATTAGTATTTCTAATTGTTAAATGTAGTACGTTAAACATATGTCTTTTTTTATTGTCATTTGTCTCATTGGCAACCATATATCACCTGTTTGTTTTTTTTTTTTTGAAAAAGAAGTGGAAGATACCAAATAGACAATTGAAATTCATAACTTGAAAAGAATCAAACCACAAATTATCAAAGGGACTTGAACAATGATAACAAAATCTGGAGGAGGGTTTACTGGTGGCAGGTATTCGGTTTAGCGTACTAGCACTTGTTAGTACTTGTTCCTTAACAAGCTTTGTCAGCGGTGTATCGAAAAAACCAAAGAACAAACTGAAAAATAAACATGGATATAATCATCAGGTCTATACTTTTGAAAAAAGCTCTAAGATGTGGTGATAATTTGATTGTCCTCTTTTCACCAACTATCTTACGGCTTAATGTAAACAAATTTATCAGGAGAATGTAATTCTATATATTCTATGAGACAGAAAAAATATTGTTTATATTTTTATCGTGTAATCACTTACATTTTAATAAAATATTCAGATTTATTTTAACCTGCGCATTACAATAAAGGTGTTATTGTCAAAAATATGACACTGCAGAACTAGATTAAGCGCTGTAAAAAAATGCTTATCATTATTAAACATCTTTGAAACCTCTTGCATGATGTTTAAAGCACAACGACCGTTACATATAAAAATCTACTAAAAAGTGATTATATATTTCAAGACAGATAAAAGTAACAGTAGTATACCACTGTTCAGTAGTCATAAATCTATTAAGCGAAAACAAACCCGGGTCACAAACCAAAATCGAGGGAAACATAAGAAGAAAACAACGGAACAACAGAAACCCTGAACTGCAACAAACAAACAAACGCTTACATACATAAAACAGACTATTTGATAACAACTGTCTTATTCCTGACTTGGTACCGGACATTTTAAGAAAAAAAGGGTGGGTTGAAGAATCTGGTTTTATGGATATCCAAACCTCCCGCTCATATGACAATGTTAAAAATACCACAAAAATGACAACATTACGTGACAGAAATACGGTACAAATAAACGCAAGAACACTCAGGTCATAGAAATTTATAAATAAAAAAATATAATAGTACATAACACTAACATTTAGTTAATATACTAAATGTATTAAATCTCCATTCAAAACACTATACAGCACAGTCCAAACAACGTTCATGCAAAAGAAAAAAACAGAACATTTAATATTGATACTTTGAATATTGCGCATTGGTAAGCCACATTCAAACATATTGAATGAAGATCCGATTTTATCCCTTCGAATGTTATATTGATGCCAACAAAACATGGTTGACGATCAATTAGAATCTATGTCACAAATGGCAAATAAATGCCACTCTTTTCTACGATTGCGACTTATCAACGAAATGTTTTCGTTTAGTGATCAACACCACTTAGGATTCTTTTGGCGCAGGAATGGCTTAATAGTTCTGAAAACATGTGTTCAAATTTTGTTTGGATTAAAGGGGTTCATGTTAAAACCAATATAGTTTCATCATGTTTTTGAATTCATTTACCCACGTCTTTGTCGTTTTGTTTTCTATTTATTGTCCTGTGAAACAGTATTTGTTTAAAACTATCTCTTTCGCTCATGCTGTAATGCTAAAGTAGTTTAAACTAATGATGATTTTTGAATTTTATGATGACTAAAGGTTAGACAAAACACATATGCCGATAGGTAAATAAACAAAAGACCACTTTCGAGTTCGTTGCATTCCCGTCAAAAATTTGGTTCTAGTGAACATCATTCGTGCGTTAAGGGTCATTGCCACTTCCTGTCCATGTTGAGCGAGCGGTTAAAAAAATATGATGCTATATTGCACGATTTATTCGGCAAAATAAATTGATTCTAATCAGCACTTTTGTCATTAGGGAATAGACTATTTTCATTTTACCGACTTTTGACTCCGGATTATATATTTTTCCGACATTTTATTTTTTCTGCGGCAGGACATCCTAGTGCGCGGTCAAGTAAGAGCAACCAAAAAAAGTAAAATCAAACATATAATCCATGCAATTTATGGGGAACTTTTTCTGTTTTCCTATGATTTTATTGTGTTAAGGAACTATAAAGCAGTTAATTTCCCCCATAAATTATATCGATTAAAAGCTTGATTTTACATTTTGTAGTTGCTCTTACTTTACCGAGAACCATAATGTGTTAGGCAACCTGTCCTAAAAATATAAATTCCGATTTCAAAAGTCTGTAAAATAAAAAAAGTTCAATTGTGATTAAGTACCTACGGAATAAACATTATTTCTAGTTTATCCTGCACAAGACGCTTAATGAACTTTATTAGTACATGAATACAGGCAGTCCCCTCTATCTGGTAAATGACGTCATAAAGGGCCGCATAATTGACGAACTTTTTCGGTGAAGGACATAACTCGAAAGCATTATATTGGAAGATAACTTATTATTAACCAGATACAATTGATTTATATATTTAAACAACAGAGACAACACAATAGGTGCATCAAATAGATCAGAAACTGTTGACCATTTCCTAGTGCCTATATTTATCTGTAGTTTTAGTTTAAACGGAATTTTAGAGCATTTGATTTGTAAATGTGCTAAAGCTGAAGGTCCAGGTGAGCTTTTGTTGTTACTTCGCGTCCATAGTCTGTTCGCCCGTCGTCTGTTGTCTATATTCCGTCGTCGGTTCGTCTATCATCCATCGTCCATCTTTTCTTTAAAATCCTCTCTTCTTCGACTGTTCAATATTTGGTTCATCTAAAGGATGTTAACTGAAACGTTTGTCATTTTATTTACAGATTAATCAATCACAGTGGATGTCGTTTCTTAAAATAGAACATGTAGAACATAAGGATTATACTATAGTTTTTAGCCAACATCTCTTAGACTATAGCAATAAGATAAAAGTTGATAGGGTTGAAATTGTCAAGACAATACTATCTGTCAGCCCTGAAAATTTTATGGAAACCTGTTTTGAAGTTTTGAAGTTATTGACCCTGAAATGTCGATGTCTCACCTTTTTTGGCATTACCTAAACTTTAGCAGCTAGGTCAAAAGTGTAAATTTCAAAAATATTGAACATGGCAAAATCTTAAAATCTTACAACTCCTTTCGAAGTTATTAGTCCTGAAATATTGATTTCAATTGATATTGCAATTGGAATTTTATTTAAAACCGTAAGAGCTACACATATGTTAAACAGTTAAATACCAACAATGATTAGCGTCTAATTAGCAAATTGTTGATTTTTATTACAAGGTGGGCAATACTGCAGGCACAGGTGTGCCTCTTGTTCCATTTTGTTCTGTTTTGTTTTACCGTGGGATAGGGATTATAGCTCAAAATATAAAAAAAATAAAAAAAATGTGTTACGATTATCAATGAACAAGTCCTGGTTCACATGTGTAAATATGATTTGTATGAGTAAACATTGGTTTACCGACAACAATATGTATGGACGTTTCCAAATCATCGAACCGCTAATTTAAGTGTTTGTCGTTTGTTTCTATCCGTCCTTGTTGTTTTAGGCAAGTATCATAATCAGAAAGCAAGACTTTGGTTTTCTGTTCAGAATTGTCTGACAACATTCGTCCTCTCGAGGCATTTCGTATGGTTTCTATATTGTCACTGTTGAAGGTCGTATGCACATGTAGTTTTCACTGTCATGAACTAAAGAGTCGTTTTAACCAATAATTATTATATTTCACGAAATAGAATACATATCTTACCATTTTTATGTATTTATGCAGCTGCCATAATCGTTCTGGGAATAATAGTCTTGCTATGTAAGTACATTTTCCATCAGTAACAGTACGATTTTTTAAAAATTTAACCCAAGTTATGCAAATATAATTAAATGTATGTACCTCATTATGCAATATCTACAAATATATAGAAATGCTCATAAAAATTATAAAACAGAATACTAAAAAAATCCAGCTTCAAATAGCATTTAAACAGAATGCTGGGCTAGCTTATTCTAGTGATAGGTCTTATATGCAACAAAACATTGATTTCACTTCAATAAATAAAAAGTATTATTGTTCCATTGACAAAATTGAATAAAAAAATTATATAAATATGCAAAGGCGACCTTCAACCCCCGTCACATGAACAAAGCCAGACAATGCGATGACCAAACAACATTACAAAATCACTGTACATCAACTTTCAAATTCGATTCCAACTAAATAATCAAGTGCTGTACAAAAAAACGAAGCATACAATTGCATCTTAATCATTCTGGTTCTACTTCATAACATATTTACTAAAGTTTTAATGAGGCAGCAAATCATCGACCGAATATAACATTACTAAAGATATTGACGACGACTTGAAGCACGCACATCAACTTGTTTAGAGGTAAGCTGAAGCCCGCATCCGGGTGCAGGATTTTCTCGATGTGCTGAACACCCATTGGTTGCCTATGGCTGTTTTCTGCTCTTTGGTCGGGCTGTTGTCTCTTTGACACATTCCCCGCTTCCATTCTCAGTTTTATTGCCATGATCTATACTGGTAAAGTTCATCTAGAATCGCTACGTAATGTAAAATTGCAGCTATTGATAAAGGATAAATAGTAAAAGAAATAAATTCACAAGATGCTTTCACAAGATGATTTCGAAAGAAACATCTAAAATGATGTATTTTATAGTTGTTGTTTAATGCAGTTATGGGGGGCATTAGCTACGAATTCGACAAAAAAATAAAATACGATTTTTGTTGTTTTAAACATTTACAAAGCTTAAACAAGAAATTTTTCACTATGAGCAGTCAGTTTGATTCGCTTTTGTCAAAATAAGCTAAAAAATCCTATCACTGATGTATATTTTACTTGAAAGTAAATAATTCAAATCATTTAAATCTGTTATACCACCTTAAGTTGACTCTTTTATGATGTATTAAGCATGTGGTAGTCAGCATCTTCATTCATTGAAAATTGATAGTTTGTCAACATTGCAAAGTGAATCAAGGGAGACACTAGGGATAACCATTTCGTTGAATGATCTGGCCCCAAAACATATTTTTTTTTACAGGTAAAACATGCAACATGAAAGCAACCAGGACTAGAAAAATCCTATTGCACGTGCCTGCTATCTATTTAAATTTATATTTATGTTTATATCGGGTTATATGATGGTCGGCATTCTTCGGAGGTTATCCCGATAAATATGACAGTTGTTTTCTATCAGGTCTGTTAGTTGATTTTACCGCGTTGTCAGCTATTAAGGCCATGACCAGATGGCGTCAGGTCTAAACTACTAGAGGCTGATATATAATAGCGAGTCCATGTATAAGTGAGTGTTTCTTTCAGAATTTTTGTGATTTGAATACACTATGTTATAAATAAAAGAAATAGATCAAATCGGAGAACATGAATTTGTCAGCTAAATCTTCTATAAAATAAACCAAATACCTACGAACATAGAAACTTTATTGATTTCACCACCAAACTGAGATATTGATTAAAAGTATTGAGAAATAAAACAAGGCGAGCAATCAATTAATAGTGTAAATAAAAAACCGAACACATCTAAAACATAAAATATATGATATCCATATTTCTCGTCGCTCTGAACGGTTCTTAAACAATCATATTGGTTTTGTTCTAAACGTATTCTCACAAATCCTTTATAATTTCGATGTTTTATGTACATAAGAGGTCACCTGTGTTATGTGTTATATCTACATTTTTCAAAAGTATTAACAAAAATACTATTCTCCGTGGTTAATTGAAAAAGGGGAAATTCCATAAAACCTGACAAAATCAATCGACTATATCAACAAACAGACCAAATGGAAGAGTTTCAACCTTTTTTAAATCTGTATAATAGCATCGCCAAACTCGTATAACCCTAAGGGAAATCAACTTAAATGAGTAAATCAAATTTCGTGAGTGTTTTTATGCGTAAACTTGAGCAATTCACTAAGAAAATTATCGTAGACATTCTACGGAAAAATGTATCCTATATTGAAACAATATCAAACTTTTGCAACCTCCAGATGATAGAATATACAACAGACTACACAGAGAGCATTGGTTTACAAGAAATAAGAAAAAACATCAGGAGATACAAATAACCATAAAATGAGTACTATACAAAACGGATCAAAGGTAATTCTATGTTATATGACAACTGTTTTAATACACTTTGCATCCAGGAAAACGCAACTATCCAAATATTTAAGTAATTGTTATTCCTTAATGGTAATAACTATCATCATGACTACAAATTTCATATTCCCTAATACATTTATTTGAAAACACAAATAGCTCAATTGAGTATGGTTTATTCAATGTTTTAAACAAATCGGGGTTCTTGTGTGTTGTAACTGAATGATCTTGGTTACAGTATTTTTCTTCTACTAAAATAATGCAGAATTTATATATCACCTTCTTAACGGGGACGCTTACCTTGTCGACGCATCCAGTTGTGCTCCTTTTTGGTCCTTCTCAACCGACAAGATGAATTCATATCTAGTAACACCCATACAATGCATTAACGAATGCTGTTTTGTACTAAATTGCTTTTTTAAATGCATGAGTAAATACTCACATCTACTATTGAACTTTAAATCAATGATAGTATGAAAACAAGAAATACTGTTGGCTCGATATCAAACAGACAGTCGGTATTACAACAAACCAAACCAAAATAATTTTCGTTAATAACAGCCGACTTTGAACAGTACTTCAATAAACAAAAAATAATAAAGACAAATACAAAACATGTATATTCAAAGATCCAAGATAGACGCTATGCTCGAACTGAAATGATTTGACTTATATTTGTATTGTTTTGTTCAGATCTTTTGACTGTTTTCTTTCGCTTAAAATTATATGCAGCTAAAACTTACATTTACAATTTTACTTATACTATATTCAAGCTCGTAATTGAAATACTAAAGAAACCAGAAATTTGTATTCATATACGATATCCCTAAAATATATGGTCCGCGATAAAGCTGATTACCGGCATTTATATATCAGGAGATTGCTTTTCATTTGTATTTGCTATTCGAGCTGTGAAACAGTGAAAAAAACAAGCAATCAATACTATAAAACATGAGGGATATAACATTTAAAACATCATCAAACATACCCGGTTAATAAGTGACACTCTTATCAAAAGTTAGTTGAAATTATAAAAAACTCTGTCATATTTACGGCTTAGGCAATCCTATATTAAGGACAAAATCTAGCGAAAATAGACCAAAAACAAAGAAATTGGGGAATCTAATTTGTAGTTAGGTTTTGTAGAAATCCACAAAACACTACATAGAAAACAAAGACTGAATAGTAGCTTTTGAAACAAAGATTCTTAATTGTAAAGTTGGAGTCATCACATAAGATCGTGAAAGAATCGAAGTTGAAATCGTCCCTTCGTAAATTTTACGGACGCCATCAAGAGTTGATCATAATGAGAATATCCTTTTTGCAGATAACAACGGCTATGTTCCAATTTACGCCTAATGTGATCTAATGAATTCGACTTGTCACCTGATTTGTTATAACATGAGCAACATGACGGGTGCTCCATGTATAGCAGGATATGCTTACCCTTCCAGATCACATGAGACCACATCTCGTTTTTGGTAAACCTCGTGTTGCTAAGTCTTCGGTTTTCTGTGTTGTGTTTTGTTGGTTGTCTGTTTGTCTGTTTCTTTTTAGACATGGCGTTGTAGGTTTATTTTGACTGACGAGTTTGGATGTCCCTTTGGTATCCTTTGCCTCTCTTTTAATTTCATTTGAATGATCTGTAATGTTCCAAATTTGTTTGTTGCCATAATCATTGCTTTCTTTTGTCTCTTTGGACATAACCAAAATACGACTCATTCCATTTTTGCTTATTTGCTATTGAATAAAGTACCGCAACGAATTGTTGATGATTGTTCGTTTTGTTTGTCAATTGTTCGATTTCTATGTAGTATTGTGTGCGTTGTTTAAATTTAATGTGGCCTCTTTTGTTTTTACTGTGATGCTTTCTGTAATCTGCGACTAAGTTATCAATTAACGTATTCACACCTAATAGTAGTAATTTTTTATTGACAAAAAAAGAGGAAGAATGAATTCGGGAATGACAAAGGGGAATTAGAAGAAACAAAAACAAAAGAAAACGTTGATGATTCTGTGAAGAAGACTAACACAACAATTTTAAAGGTAACATTTTTTTTATACTCATAGCGTTCGTGTCAAACGTATATAACTTTGAATCATGTTCAATTATTCCTTCAAAGGAACTCTAAAACACATAACTTTACCCTTACTAACATAAATTAAAGTTGAATGCTTCATTTTATAATTTGTTGTGTTGTAAAAGCGTTGACCGAAGAATTTGTGCACGGTGAACTGTTTTCCAACCCTACAAAATGTTATGAATAAGCGTAAAATTACGAGTAATATCAAAATAAACTCATCATAGATACCAGGAATGATATTTTGTAATTGCGCCAGACGCGCGTTTAAACTACAAAAGATTCGTCAGGGACGCCCGAATATAAAAAAAGTTAAAAAGGCCAATTAAAGTACGAAGCTGAAGAGCATTGAGGACCAAAAACTCCCTAACGTTTTGTCAAATACAGCTAAGGTAATCTATTCCTGAGGAGAAAAGCTTAAGTATTTCAATAATCCAAAGTTTTGTAAACAGTTAATCTATAATTATGACCATAGCAATGATAATTCGTGTCAAAACAAAATTTTCGTCTGTTTTGCCAAGCATCGCTGTGACATTGACATGGGAGGCACGTACTGTCATACGTGCTGCATTGTGTAGGAAAATAAAATCTAATGTTGGAATGCATTTGAATGTTATAAGCCAAGCAAAAGTACGGATGCTTACTAGACAGGTCGTGCAAACTCTACATGTAATGTAATTATTTATGAATATCCCCTTATATATCTATTTAAACGATTTAGAACACATCTATGTTTGATTGATCGTTGTTCTAACAGACGGACATGCTTCAAGAGCTAATAACTGTTTGCCATTACTTGCCCATGCATTCACCTACTCCCTCGGCATAAACTTGATATAACAGCCTAGGCAAACAAATATCTATTAAAGTCCTCTAATGTCACTGTAAGATATTCAGTTTTTTTCCCTCTTGGCCTTATGCAGAAATTTAGTTCATTACAGAAGGAAATTGTTTTGTCGATTGATGTTCAAACATATTTATTCTTGTATTCATATAAAGGTCAATTTATAAACCAAACCTCATCCAAACAACTTAAAAATAACGAGCAAAAATTGCATAAGCTAACCCTTGAACTAACTTTAGCCGGATTTATATATGAACATAGATATAGGAAGATGTGGTATGAGTGCCAATGAGACAACTCTTCATTCAAGTCACAATTAATAAAAGTAAACCATTATAGGTCAAGATACGGTCTTCAACACGGAGCCTTGGCTCACACCGAACAGCAAGCTATAAAGGGCCCCAAAATATTACTAGTGTAAAACCATTCAAACGGGAAAACCAACGTTCTTATCAATATAAAAAAACCAGAAACGAGAAACACTTATGAACCACATCAACAAACGACAACTACTGTCGTCAGATTCCTGACTTTGGACAGGTGCAAACAATTGCAGCGGGATTAAACATTTTAATGGTACCAAACCTTCTCCCTTATCTGAAACAATAGTGTAACATCACAACATAGAAAGACACACTATAACATATCAACTGGAATGGCTTAACTCAATCAAAAAACGTAGTAACACAAATGAAAATACACTGAACGAATACATTTGATACAATGTACATATAAAGTTAATAAAAATAAGGGATGAATAATTAAAGTAAAAGAATTATACCGCTGTGAAATGCTAAACAATTTCAGAAAAACATCAACCTTGAAAAAAATTACGTCATATTATACACAGGTAAATGAAAATAATTTTGTTGTTAAGTATACTTCTTCTTCTGTCTGTATAATTTCCGTTTAGGAATACCAAGAAATTTCTTGTATATCAATCAAACTATTCTAAAATTTGGTACATGTGGGGTGAATATCAACAATAAAACTATAAAATTGGTGCTCGATAAAACTTCGTGTTCTTCGTGTACAAGTGCCGGAAGTGTGATGTATATACAGTATAAAAGGAGAAAAGAAATAAATTTCATAGTACGAAGAAGTGAAAATTTATAGTAATTCCAAACAATCAAAGGCGGTAAATAGACCAGATACAAGTTTACATTAAATAACAAAAAAAGGATTTAGTATTTTAACGTCATGGACATTCAAGGAAGAAATGACTTGTGCAATGCCAAAAATAAATGTATCGACAGGCAGTAGGATAGTTCGGAGTTTACTTCTTTATAGATAAAAATGAACGTGTGTGTGTCTTTATACATCCCGTTTGAAAAGAATACCAATTTAGTAATGTTTTAATTTGTTGATGACAAAATCGATAAAACATTGGTAAGATAACCTTTACTAATAAGTTTGTTTAAAGATTCGATGAGTTTGTATATCTACCCCAGGTTAACTGGCACTCAAACTCACTAAAACACACTAGAAGACTATTATTTAGGTGTTGATATTATTTGAAAATGAAGAATACGCGAGCTACAGTGATGTCTACTTTATTATAGCTGTCCTGTTCAATAAAACGTTATGCCTTTGCCACACAGAAGAAATTTTTTACTTTCGTTCTCGATACGACCATATACGATTATAATTTGTTAAAACATGTAAAAGTTGGATGAAGATCCTATGATTTGTGGCTGGAAAATTGTTATACATTTATGTAATCACGACAACAATCTGATATTGTTCAGAAAGCGTTCCGATAATCTCATTAGCTATCCGATTCTGATCTGATTTGTGTTTTTTACATAGTAAAAACTACCGAATATGTACTAACAGCGTCCAACTCTCCCGCCAAACGTGATCCGACAGAGATCAGACAGTAACCAGACACTTAACCGATGAAGAACATTGTTACGATTTTTATCCAATACAGCGGATTTTGTCATAACGTAGTTATGATTATAATCTAGATAGACAAACTGGCCGGGCTTTCCAAAAGTAACAAGACGCACATGGTTATCACCACTGTCCCAATTTGGTTCTATATGACACTATTACTAACGTAAACAACTGCGTTTCAACAATGTTAGGACATTCAAGATTATTGAGGTTGGTTGTCTGAGGTTTTAACTGCTCCTGCAGTAGCGCTGTCTTATCTCAAATTGGAGTCATACTCGGTCAGGTATGAGCTGTTCATAATTGAAAACTGAAAGCTATGATTGAGGAAACAAGTGATCATTTTGCCTTTGTCAACTTACGCTTTATTTATTATCCCAAGCCAGCGTATTGTGGTAACTTATTTAAAAAAAGACTGTTTGTTTGACATTTTATTTTACGTGTTTCGTTCGTATATATGTGTGTGTTATCTTGAGTTTAATAAAATTACATTTAGACGTTGCGTATATATATATATATTGTTGATAGAACGTTTAATAACCTAACATGTCTATAAGGAGATCCTTCAAGGATAGCTATTCAACAGGATAGGTGTACCAACACGAATCAGGTTCTTTTATTCAGATGGTTTTTTTTTCCTATATTGTGTATTTTTTTTTAAATTTTGACATTGTGTTTTCCGCTTGTCATCGACTTATGAGTTATCCTTTTAGTATCATCTGCTTCTCTTTTGTATTTTTTATTTCTAAGTATTTCCTGTGCCTGCAATTAGTTAAATGATTTTCTTTTATTTACATGCTATTCTCTAGAGATAAATTCTTATTTTAAACATTTTCCGGTCTTTCTAACTCCGGCATATTGACCAATACATTCACCTGTCTCATTGTGGTTGATAAAGCACAACCGTATGTTTCAATAAACATCTTTATGAAATCCTTACCAGACAACTTATCCTCTGATAATTATAGTAACGATGATATTCCGTCGAAAGGGGACAATAAATGGCTGACCCTTGTTAAGAGAGAGCCATATCTTTTGCACGTAAAAGTCTTCCTTGTAGATTTCGAAAAAGAGCAGGCTGTGCCGCTACAAGGCAGCAAGGGATTAATATAAGTTGCAATTACTTATTTGCCAATCCACTATAAATAAATATGTTTAAACTAATTATAGCTAAAATGATATGAAAATTAGTTTTACGACTACAATCTATAAAAGAAACAGCTTTTTCATTGTCACTTCTTCGATTGTTTTTTAGCAAGGTGCAAACAGTGCTGTTACTAATGAAGAACAAAGACCAAATGATACGAATCGCAAAACATATGTGAATGCAGTGTTAGTGAAACCACAACCAGACAAAGGATAAATGAAACTCATTTATAAAACAAAACTTCAATTATGGACGATTAAGGGACGGATGGTCATCCAATGAGTCAGCGGTGTATGTTGGTTCTCAATTAATGACAGCAAAGCACTAACATTAAAATGTCAAATACCTATTAAAAAAAAGAGTATGAAGACAAACACAAATAGTTTAGGTTTCAAATGCGAGAAATATGCTGATGACTTTTCATGCAAGTTTTTTAGCTTGGTGAAAAACTACTTGGGTGTTAAAAGATGACCTTATATGAAAGTTTGATATCCTATGATAACCATGTCATTTTGTTTATTTTCTTTGGTTACATCTTCTGACATCAGAATTGGACTTCTCTTGAACTGAATTTTAATGTGCGTATTGTTATGCGTTTACTTTTCTACATTGGCTAGAGGTATAGGGGGAGGGTTGAGATCTCATAAACATGTTTAACCCCGCCGCATTTTTGCGCCTGTCCCAAGTCAGGAGCCTCTAGCCTTTGTTAGTCTTGTATTATTTTTAATTTTAGTTTCTTGTGTACAATTTGGAGTTTAGTATGGCGTTCATTATCACTGAACTAGTACATATATTTGTTTAGGGGCCAGCTGAAGGACGCCTCCGGGTGCGGAAATTTCTCGCTGCATTGAAGACCTGTTGGTGACCTTCTGCTGTTGTCTGTTCTATGGTCGGGTTGTTGTCTCTTTGACACATTCCCCATTTCCATTCTCAATTTTATCATACCTTGTGTAACTGCAGAACCTTCGTTTTCACTGTATGAATGCAACTGCAGATATTTTGGTTTTCTTGTGTCCATTTAGAGAGTCACCTCCAGAATGCAAAGATTCTACATACCGTTCGTGTTAATTAAAAGACTGCACATCCTTTGAGCGTACAAATGTGTTTTTGTTTTACAGAAAATATTTGCAACAGTAGTATATTGCTGTTCAAAAGTTAAAAATCGATTGAGTGAAAACAAATCAAGATTACAAACAAAAACTGAGGAAAACACATCAACGAAACCAAAAAAAAAAAATCACTTTATATCATTCAATATGACGACAAATAGAAAACAAATTGGTGTCAGAAAACCATTTTCTTATTTCTAGCTTTTCTCATCACTTTGTGTCCGTCATCCGTCGTCTTCTGTCGTCGTCCGTTAACTTTTACAAAAATCTTCTCCTCTGAAACTACTGAGCCAAACTAAACCAAACTTGGCCTAAATCATCCTTAGGGTATATAGTTTGAAAAATGTATCCGATGACCCCGCCCATCAACCAAGATGACCACCTTTGCTAAACATAGAACATGGGGGTAAAATGCAGTTTTTGGCTTATATCTCTGAAACTAAAGCATTAAGAGCAAATCGGACTGAAATATAAATGTTCATCAGGTCAAGATCTATCTGCCCTGAAATTTTCAGACACATCAGACAACCCCTTGTTGGGTTACTGCCCATGAATTGGTAATTTTAAGGACATTTTGAAGTTTTTGGTTATTATCTTGAATATTATAATAGATAGAGATAAACTGTAAATAGCAAAATTGTTCTGCAAAGTAAGATCTACAAATCCAAAATTGTTAATTGATCACATAAAGAGTTCGTTATTGCTCTTTAAAGTCAATTTTTCATATTTTTTTCCTTTTTCCTCTGAAACTCCTGGGCCAAAGTCATTATAGATAGAGATAATTGAAAATAGAAAGAATGTTCAGTAAAGTGAAATATACAAACAAGTAATCATCACCAAAACAGAGAATTTTGTCATGAATTCTATTCTTGTCTATAATGTATGTCCTTTGTTTAATATGCACATAGACCATGGTGAGCGACACAGGCTCTTTAGAGCCTCTAGTTTTAAGAATATATCACATTTGCGGCTTATAGCACAACAACACATTTTATGGCCGGAAACCGCTATATAATTGATCCAATTTATCATCATTGTATGTCCTTTTCAATTGTTCAAAGAAGGTAAAAGGAATTTGGTTGCAGATTTTTTTTTATTTAGTGGGAGTAGCATGATAGTTTGTCGTGCATTTTTGAATTGCTAAATAATTGAATATATACAAAATGCATATCCGCAACAAGAGCGTTCACAATATAAAATAAATTTGACTGGACTATATGAATGAAAAATTTATTAAGACTTTAAAATGTTTAAAACCTTAACACAACATGATAAATATACAAAAGATCTAAATAGAGGGGACGGAAATAAATATTTTAAAATTATGAGTGTCACTAGTGGATCTGTGTACGCTTGCGATGCACCTGACTGGGTTTGTACGAGTGATACTCAGTCTTTATTTGTCTATGGTAGTTGTTCTGTTTTGGTGGAAGAAGACTTTCATGTCTTCTTAAATCCTAAGTCTGTTAATTTTTTTAAATGTTTAAGAGATTATGCACTTTCTCTCTCATACAGACATGTCAGTATAAATTTGTGATGTAGCTCATCGTCTTTTTAAAACCGGTAAGATCGGAATCATAACATGATAAAATATGAATTTCCTTCCAGTTCAGTTTTCTTATAAAGGTCTCGAACTATCAACATCCGCAATCTGCTTCGTCACAGATAGGTAACATCTAATATTCCACTTTAATTTCAAAATCAATCTGTTCGTATTGTGTCCTACAGTTATACCGGCATCATTGCACAAAAAGTATTTAACTATATGCAAGCATTGCAGGACCGTGATTAAGAAGAATACTTAAAAGAAACCTATGACATGCGGCAATTCCCAATCCAATTAAATCCAGCCTCTCTTGCCATGCTATATTTGGGAATGTGAACAAGGTAATGCCTCAATGTACTAAGCTAAGAGAACATCAACACAACATTTGGAACTATAACGTAACAATAATAATGAATTATATTGATGACTACGACAGAGCATGAGCTAAACGAGTTGAACTGGACACATCATCAGAATGAATTAAAGCAATCAGGTATCTGATAAAACGTCGAATCCAAAAGTTTAAAAACTGTGTGAATGTTCGACCAAAATTTGTGTTCAGAGACAAAAAAAACTTATCTCTTCACGATAAATATGTTGTTGTTCCTGCAGACAAAGCTTTAATAATAGTGTTTGTGCATGTAAATCGTACAACTACGAGTATATTGTAAAAGAATTAGAAATACATGAGCACTAAGATGATTTCATGTAAAAATATATCATGTGATAAATCCTTCATGGCTTCAATAAACATAAAATTGAACAGTTAATCCGAGGACAATCCTTGTTTGAATTGGATACATAAGCTTTGCATAATTCTGTACAAACAACAGTACATTGCCGGCTCATCTACATGTTCTAATAAATTGTCAATTAGATTAACTAAAAATATGTCCGAAGTGAAATAAGGTCTCCAGAAATACTGTTTACTCGCTTAGTCGTATTATCCATATGTTGATTCTAAAGATTTGAAGAACTTTTAGATAACTTTATATCTCTATCTTTCTTTTGGATTAATTGCTTCAAAACTTTTGATTTGTTCAACCCTTTTGTACCATCATTCTCCATGTGGAATTTAAAAAATCGTCTAAAAGAAATAATCAACAAGGCTTTTTAATGTAAAAATGAAAGTATACGCTATAAATGTATTGCTCTGTTAACTTTTTGTTAATAGTGAAGAAATTGTAAAACATGCAACACCGAGGAACAAGTGATCAGAAAACTGGAATTTCCTGTTAATATTTGTGGACTTTGTCATTAAATTGTCGACATTTCTATGGGAACGGAATATGCGCCTCTCCTTATTTTCGTACGAGTTGGAGTTCTTTCAGACACTTGTCAGAAACCAAAAAAGATGAGAGAAGCCAGATCATTTTATTTTGCATTCAGATATATTGATGATGGTATGTCCATCAACTATCCAAACTTTGCTCAATGGTTTCTTTGATATATCCTCGAGAGCTAGAATTTGAAAGAAAGAAAAAAAAAAAAAAACAGACACGGCTTCCTCTGTCTTATAATCAGACTTTATAAAACGCTACCAGTGTCTGAGCAGAAAAGGATAAAACAGGGTTTTGCAAAAGAACGTCACTATGTCGTCTATTTTCGGAAAAGTTCATCGGTAAATACCAAGACCTTGCAGATAATTATTCCGTAACAACTTCACAAATAATACATATTGGTCTTGAAGTATAGAATATAGGTACTGACGTTGTCATCATCATTAAGTGTTATAGTGTAATTTGTATTCGTCGTTGTATATTTTAACTTTTAATGTTTAGTCCATTTTGGTAATATCGTTTTGACATGACTCGGTATTTATACATCCCGCGCTGATGTGTTATTGTGCTATGGTCTTTTTTGTATGCTTATCTTTTATCTTTAATTATATGCTTTGTCTAAAGAGTTTCTTTATTACATTTTGTGCTTCTGCGTTGATATTTTTATTTGTTTTTATAGTGATTAAGATTATAAGACAATGTTGACTGTTGTACACAAATTGTTGGCATGTTTACCTATTTTGTGTGGGGTTTTTTTGTTGTTATTTTGTTGTTTTTTTGCTGACACATTGTTGTCACTATATTGGAAGTCTTTAAGACTGTCATACAAGTGAGAGGTTTATACAGGTTTAAACAGTTATAAAAACAGATTTAATCTACCACTTTCCAAATAGCAAATTTACTGTACCAACTATGTATTATGACAGTTGTTTTCCGTTCATTTGATGTGTTTGTGTTTTTGCCATTTGATAAGGGACTTTCCGTTTTAAATTTTTTCATGAAGTTCGGTATATGTTTTTATTTGACTTTTGACCGTGATACTGTGTGCAATGACAAAGAGGTTCAATTAAAAGATTACATTTTTTTTGTCACGTTTGAAAGATTTCTTACATGTAATGTCCTTTTTCGATGGCGTAGGAGACGAATCATCAAAAGATTTTGATGATTTCTTCCTTTCCTCATTTTCATGAAACTTATGATTGCAATCTTGTTCATCGGATTTGCCAGGACTTTTCATAAAATACGCATGCAAACTTTAAAAATGTTCCTGAATGTTCTGTAACGCACGAACGTCTATCTTGAAATATTCAAATAACTCGCAGTTGGTATAGATATTTTCAATCTGTCTATGACTGTAAAGTTATACTTGCTTACAGTTTCGGTTAATCTCTTAAAGGATATTTATAAGATCCGAAACAGTCAGGAATCTGATGTTCAGTAGTTGTCGTTTGTTTATGTGGTTCATAAGTGTTTCTCGTTTCTCGTTTTTTTTATATAGATTAGACCGTTGGTGTTCCCGTTTTAATGGTTTTACACTAGTAATATTTTGGGGCCCTTTATAGCTT